AATAGGGTTTGCGAAAGCACAGGCTGTGGCATCAGTAACTGCTTCAACCTGATTTAAGCTATAACAATAATATGGATTACACCAACTCACAGCTGAAAACTGACATCTGACAATGACGTGTGTTTTATAGATTGAGAGATGCACTAATTGGTATGATCAATAATCAAAATATTCCTTTTTCTCTTAACCATTGTCTAAATCTGCCAATAAGCTATAATACAGGTTGCATTAACAAGCTTTTTGTTGTATGACAGTAAGCATACGGCACGTGACATGCCCGTGTCTATCATCCACAGGTAATGCCCTGTCAAATATCAATAAGCTGAAATGAACATGATCGAATACCTATTGTTTTCGCAATATGGTAGTTTTTTTCGAGACACCGTCAAGGGATAACGAGCTGACAAATCCAATAACCCTATAAACAATATTAACAATGTGAACTATAAGGGCTGTATTTGACAAACCTAATCGCTGAGAGACATCTAGTATTACTTTTGGTTGTTATAAAAGATCTTACTTATTACTGGCCTAGATCACAAGATTGAAGAGAACATGCATTTTACACAATAAATCTGGTATCATTCACATTATAGGGATTAAATTGAAAATATAACACAATTTTTTTAGCTGTGTGGAAATAATATATATATATAGTATTATATCATCACTTATAGTAATTGAAATTAAGGTGAATACATAATGATTATAATTTACTAAACCCCAAAGACTCCAAAATAGAAAGATGATATTACAGTATTAACTGTAAAAAGACTGAAATTATACAACGCCTACAACGAATAAAAAAAAAATGTAACTCACGCAATGCAATTGTTTAAAGTTGAACTAAACGACTCATAACTCTGAATGTCAGTCTCAATACCTGGCTCAGTATTTAACGTACAGCTCCCCCCCTCCCCCCCCCCCCCGGCCCCTCCCCCTTTCCCTAACACCCCAACCGCCACCCTCCTTCCACATAAAAAAGACAATATTAGCAAAGTGAACTCTCTGAAGAGCTGTATTTGAAAAGCATAGTCACAGAACGGCATGATGGAATCTTAAAGACTGGCTGTCATTGACATTACCTGGTTCAATCACAGCATGGCAGATGTCAGGTAGATAATTACTGGAATGAAAAAACTGTCTATTATATATCTGAGTATAGTATATCGATCTTTGTAGGTCGTTATGATATATATTTACTCTCAATTAAACCAATATAAACCACATTATTGTTGCTATGTCCTTTGACGTCATATTGATGAGAGACATTACGTAATTATTAGATTTTATATTAGTATATTATCAATTTCACCAGGCCGTTATTGTATACGTGTATATCCGTGTGTTGACAATTAGTTGCCAAAAAAACTGTAGTAGTCACCGTCATTTGGATGCGGGAAATTTAGTCCCAGCGGAATATTCTAACAGAAAACGGGTTCAACTGGTCCCAAACATATTACCTGCCAAATAGCCATCCCTCTTCTTCTTATACCTCTTTATAGCGTATTTTTTATAATGTCGGTGTTATTTTGAAATACGCTTTGGCATTATCTGGTGCAGTTCTGTTAGATCTAGGTGTGGCAGTAACCTTGCCATGTATTTCAGTTGTTTTTAACAATAAAAAACTAACAGTGTCTGTCTATTAGGGTTAAGGCGATTGCATGCCTAAATTCGTGTTCGGCAGTGACCTTGCCATGGTTTCTGGCGTTTTTTAACAATAAAAAACTAACAGTGTATGTAGGAATCGATCTAGTGGGAATCGATATGTGACTATTGTTATAATTCTGATTAATAATATATAGAAGGTGATCATTATCTGTATCAACCTTCACTGAAACAAAAGACAGTCTTCAAAACTGACAGCTGTCTGATTGGGGCAGGACAAATCTGTTAGGTTTGTGTTCAAAGATCAATAATGAGGTCTGAATTACCGATTTGTACAATGAATTGATGTACTTGTACTTTGATCCTTTATATCTTCTATGTTGTCTACTTTTAAGTTGAGAAATCTGTTTACGATTTTAAGTTGTTACAGATTTGCCAATTTGTACTGGAATCCTATTGTTGGATACTATAATTCAGACGGAAGGAATCTGTTGTGTTCTATTTGTATTTTTTTTCTAGGGTCCCTTATATCTTCTCTGTTGACTACCTCAATTTGGGCAGCAGATCTGCTATGTTATTTGCGTTCAGATATCAATAATAGCGACAGAATTTCCGATTTGCTTGGAGTTGACAATCCCAGTCCCAGAGTAGCCGTTATAATATAAATTTACTTTCAATTATACCAATATAAACCATATTATCGTAGCTATCTCCTGTGACGTCATATTGATGAGTAACATTGCGTAATTATTGGAATAGATATAAGTATATTATTATTATATTATGGTATGGCACTTGATGTACCAGAAGAGTGATCATGGACTGCCCCCTCTGAAACACAGTACTATTGCAGTAATATTTGGACTTGAACATTAAAACTTGAGCAAAAGTGGCAGAATTCTTTTTATGTGATGGTTTTGGAATTATAGGATGAAAAATTCTATTTGCCACAAAAACTGCAGACCAATCGTCATCAAAACATGTCTGGTCTTAAAGTTAATTAGTTAATTAAACCCAACATATGCCTAATTACAAGACGATGAAATAAAATTACATTACTAATTCATGTGATTGTAGCTACAGTGGTCAATTTATTCGGACATCTGTCCAGTGTCCGGCCAGTCTGTTGTTCTATAATGTTGGGTATATATAAAAACAGATCTTGTAACATGACATAATTAATACAGTCACTGTGAATGAAGTTGTCTTATGTAGTATCAGAACTTAAAAATTACTAAGGATGAATGTTAACAATGGAATATAGCGTATTAAGGAGTTTAATGACTTTGAAGTGTGTTTTTTTTTTGTGAATTCGGGAATATATCATATTCCTTATCAAACATTTTGAATATACATGTACATGTAGGTTATAGATTTTGTGATTGATTTTGTTAAATTGAAGTCATCGTCAACATGTTCTTGGATAATATATTTATACTGTTTATTCAATTCTGTGATTAATTTTTAACTGAGAATCCTTCACTATGGTGCTAAAGTCATATCAGTGTTTGTTGTCCCCTTTACATCCTCTATATTGGCTATTCTCTCATTGTGGTACTGGCATCAAAATAAAAATATTTATGTTTGTATTTTATCATTGTAGTACAAGTTTAGAATAAACCAACAGCAGAGACGTTTTACAAGAGACTTGGAAACCATGGAACCAAAACCTGACAATGTAAACAAGGAACCAGTGGCAGAGAATTCAAGAACCAAATTCTCAATCAGGTAATTTTTTTCTATACTATTCTTATTAAAGCTCATGGTTCTTTTTCGACAGAGCACATTCAAATTTAAGTTTTCAGATATCAATTGTTAGTAAATCTCCATTCGTTATACACGTATGGCTCAATCATATTCAAATTTTCAGATTTCCCACTATAAGTCAATTCCATTAGTCAGAAATAGAGTTTCGTTGCCATCTTCTTACACAGAAGCTGAATATCAGTACGAGGCTTTATGATGCCTTTGCTAAATCTCCTACTTGAAGGTCTTCAGTGAATCCTTTCATCAACTTTGCCAAGCCGATTTGGTTAGAGGATTTATTTCAGTAAGTCTTTTGTTTAGAGATTAAATGATATTGGTATTGACAGTTATAAATTGACAGATTGTTTTATGCCGCCATCTTGATTGTCGACGCCATCTTTAATTTCAAGGAAAATTGTCGTCTGCTTTTTGGTTTTGGCCCATTTGCATCGTTGTTGATTCTTAAACAGATGATATCAGTCGGTTCTGTATTTATTTCTGATTTTACATATCAAAATTAAGCAAGATTATTTAGTCAGTTGACTTCCCTGAGATAAACACATCGTGCAGAAAAGTAGAACATAAAACTCCATTCATTTCATTTCGCGCAGATAAGTTCTGCGGAGCTATTTCTTTTGTATGGGCTCATTAGAAAACAGAGTGTCAAAAGAAATGTCCTTTAAATTAATAACCAGATTTGGCTTATATTTGAATCTTATATTTTCATTCATTATCAAAGAATTTTACCCTTGAAAGCTATACATTTAACATATTTCAAGTTGCCCCGTAAAAGAGTCTTTCAAAGCCCATAAACCACTCAATTCGGAACAAATTTTATTTTCCGCTAGTGTCACGCCTCGGAATTGTTCCTTTGATCGGAGTGAAATATACAGAAATGCTTTTAGAAACTGTCAGGCAATTTGAACTAATGCTTCTTTTGAACAAAGACGAAAGAATAAGCGGAATGAAGCTACCATTAAAACTGATTCAATGCGGCCATATTTCTTTTCAAAATGGCTATTTTGGAATTCATGAATAAAGCATAAAGACTTTTTCCTTCAAGAATTCTTCTGAAAAGGCTCGTTTTCCACATAAAGCAACGAAATGTGTTCTTTTAAAGCTATTTCTCTTTCAAGCCATTTTGATTAATTTTGATGCCTTTTGAAAAGAAGGAAAAACGAAGCTGAAAATTCCAATTTGATAAGAAGTAGCAGCGTTTGAAGTCTGTACATTACGAATGAGCATCTCGAGACATAGAGTGGTTTTTATCCAATAACAAAACTGCATATTTAGATAGTTTTCTCAAACGGTTGCCATAGTTATCAGTAAATTGGCTTTAAATTTATTTAATCTAACACGTCGAGTTGGAATAACGATATGGAGAGAACGGTCCACTATCTTTTGTCTCTCATTGGAATTTTCTTTCCTTTTCTCCGCCGGTTATCGATTTTAGCCCACTCTTTCTTTAGCTCGTCTCATTCCTAGACCCTCAATATTTCTTCAGAAGTTTATTTGACCCCACGACGTGGAATTTGGTCGAGTTCCTATGAATTGGGGATAGAAAACTCCGGTGGCAGGCTGGCTGTATAAAAATCGATACGAATGCCTGTATAATTGAAAGGAGTATAGTGGTAGAACGGGTCGATATGGAAACCAATACACTACAATCTCGCTTAATATGGAACTCTATTGGGACGCTAGACTTGATTCCACCAGACCCGCCACTGAACGTTCTCGTGATAGCATCTGCCTTCCTTTCTATGGTATTTGGAACTATCACCGACTTTCCCTGGATTTCTTCCTTTATAAAGAATTGGAATAGAGGACTCGTTAAGGTAGGTTTACATTGTACATTGGTTGTGTTTAAATGGTTTCCGTGACTGTAAGTAATACTTCTTTAGTATCTCATTTCTTTTTGTAGTATTTGGAAAATGTTTTAGATTTTCACTGAACTTCTTTTTTTCTATGGAAGTGGAATAGGTCCTTTAAGTTCTCTTAATGTTTGATTTGACGGTCGAGTTTAATTCTGGTACCATCTGATTTATTTTTGTAGTATTCGGGGAAAAATAGATTTTCACTGAACCTCTTCTTTTCTATGGAATCGGTCCTTTAAGTTTTTTTAACCGTGGGTTTTCTGTAGTATCAAAAATTTTATTGCCGTAGTTTAGTATTTGGAAGTAAATTATGGGATTGACTCTTTTCTATGGAATCGGAATAAGGCATATTCCGAGGCAGGTTTTATTACTTTTTTGGCCGAGTTTACGTTTGCATCTGAAGAAAGTTCATGGGATTTTCTCTTTTCTATGCTGTTGAAATAAGGCAGATGCGTAGCTTGGGTATAATACTTTACTATATGGTTGTGGAGCTTGGTTCTGTTACGATCTGATTTCGGTAGTATTCCGAAAATATTTTGATTTTCAGTGTATTTCCCTTTTTCAATGGAATTGGCAGGAATCGCAGGCTCTTTAAGTTTTAGTTTTGAAGGCGATCTTATTCTATGATATAAGGATATGACTCATTGTTTCAATAGATTTCGTGTGGATCTTGAATGGAGAGTTCGTAGCTTTTTGGTTCTTTTTAAGTATTTAAGAGTTGGTTTTATCGATAGAGTTTCTTCAGTATACGGAACAAATATTCGAATTCTTCCTTCGTGACATTTCATGGACAATTCGTGTCGGTTTGCCTCTTAAATGATTAAGATTTTACTCGATTTGTATAAAATTGGACAAAGGCGTTTTGAAGGAGAGTGACATGACATTTAGTACCGTAGTATTCAGTCAATAAGGCTTGGTTTTGAAGGCATACAGCTCTTGATCTGCTTCCATCTACGGGATTCTTATTCGGTAGCAGGGACAAACCATCTTCAGCAGGACCATGTCCCTATTCTATCTTTCTACTTGTTTATTGCTTCGTTCAATTTTTCTGAATCGTTAACATGGATACTTTTGATAAAAGGGGCAAAAACAACTTTGCCCCTTCAGATATATTGTTTGCCCTTCCGAACAATCAAGTCTGGCTACGGGCCTGCCCATTACCTGAGGTTACATCTTTCTGTCTTCTAGTCAATCGCTGCCTCTGCTTTCTAATAGTACCCATTGTAACAAGAGTTCGTTCTGAAGTGCTATCTTGGAATGGACAGAGTGAAATTTGGAATGAACTAATATATAGGTATAGGTCTTGTATTTCAGTAACGTTTGGGGTTTTGTCTGGCCAATCGATACCCGCATTGGTTTGTTTGACCTTGAGACATAGATCAGGTTGTCACTGGAATTTCTGAAAATGAACCAGTCTTGAACTATCTCTATATAAGTAAGACGTTTGCTGTATGATACTATAGTTTGTCAAGGATGGTCTTCAGTTAACTTGAAGCGGACTCAGTTTGACACAGTACTGCTCTATACTGGTCCGAGGTCTCGTGCTAGTATCAATGTACTTTGTTAATCTCATATCTTACTTCGCGTTGGAACCCACGACACCTAATCGCCTATCAGAAGAAAATGCAACTTTCTAACGCCTGACGGAACACTATATTACTCCTTAGTTTTATTGTACAAAACGTTTCAACAATCTATATTTTTCCACTACCTTTTTGGTGTAAGAAATCAAATCTCAGCTGTCGAAGTGGCCTTGCTTGTCATTGGAATGATTGAGAACGGCTTACTCAGAGGTTATCAATCACTTTTAAGTAGCTCAAAAATAAAGTGTCCCCCGGGCCACAAAACTTTTCATACTTGGCTGAAATTATACTATTATTTGAAGCAGCTCTTACAGGTGAATAGCTGATTGTATCAAAAAAAAATATATATCAATCTATTTCTTAGGGTACAATATTTCAGGCACTGTCACAGTAATCTTCAACTTTTAACTTTTCGTGATGCGAGAGACTTAATTTGAGTAAAATCTTAACTAAGCATGCTGAATGTTTTGTGGTCCTAAGACCAGTTATGGATAGGCAGTAACTAAACACAGGCAATTCGAAACATTGCATCACAGGAAGCGGAGGTTAACTACCTACCTACTTGCTATTACTTCCTCAAACTACTGGTGTGACAGTCATCTATCTTCCAAAATAAATAACAATTAAAATGTCTAGCCATTGACGTTGATTCGCAGACAGACATTGCGCTCTGTGGATTCATGGTTGATAAAAGGACACGATCCAGACCAATAAATTTGTAGGAGGAAAACATGAAAGAAAAAGAGCGTACAAGGATTCGTTCCGACCATATCTGAGGTAGATTCGGCTTTACGGAAAAGGACGAGAGTTGCTGAATGTGTTTATGTTTCCAGTTTTATATTGAAATTCGATATCACCACCACCCACGTTTAATTCATATTCGATGTAGATTTAGCTTTATGGAAACTGCCGAGATTTGCCGAATGTGTCTTCAGTTTTGACCACCACCCCTTTAATGTTTGTTAAATACCTAACGTAGAATTCTATTGGTTTTAAAGCCGATGTTTCTATGTATATGTTTTATTAGTCGTTGTCTCGAACAATTATTAGTGTTGACGACCATTTCACATCCACCTCAAAACTTTGAAAAATATACTTTTATAATACATATATAATATTTAGATGACGCTGTCCCTTTCACATGTCAGCTAAAACACTCGATGCATCTGAATTTCTTTCACGCTGTTAAATTCCATTAATGCCACACATCCACGTTAATTGAGGTTTCAATTTCAGAAGATATTCACGGAGTATCGATTAATTCTCGTTTTAACTTGTCGAGTTGACTTTCCTAATGCATTTTCATGTTTCACTAGGCTTTGTGAAAAGATTTTTTAAGATGACGATAGCATATGTCATTAGAGCTCTATAGTTTATAAAACCTGCGTTAAGTGATAGTAGAATTGTGACACGAATATTTAGCCGACAGCCGCGAGCACCATGGTGTCAATTTCAATTTTTTAAAGCTTGTATGATTTTGTGATTATGTATGTATTAATGATACGGTTGTGAGTTTTTGTGGTCAAAAGAACTTTAATTTTGCTGGTGTTGTAATTCGATTTTGCCTTCATTGAATAACTCATGACGATGCTCGTAATCATTCATCCAGGCTGATGCAAGTATGTCAGACACCAGAGCAAATATTTGAATTTCAAATTGTTGAATGCTAATATAATTTGGGCTTCGGGTTGTTAAAATTAGAGTTTTGCCCTCAACCGCGTTACGTTGTTCGTCTTTATTAGCCCAAACTGAATCAGAAAATGATGATGTTATACTCCATTTCATTTACAGATAAAAACGTTTTATTTACTTTCATACTCAGTCTATGTCTACTCAGTTCCTACTTCCAGTTGTCTGAATTAATATGGCATTGGAGAGTGGGTTATGAGGTTCTTGCGGAAATTCAATATTTCTTTTCCATTTGCATAATATATATATTCAGTATTCAGCCGCCCCCGTACAATGTTCGGGTGATTAGGCCGTATTTTTATTACCCTAGGGAAATGGAGTTCTATCACGTGACATAATGTAACACAAGCGGATGTGAATTTACGCGGGAAATTGCTGGTTTCCGGTTTAAAGACAGTTCTATAAATTACACATGTTCAACTGTGACGTCAGTACAAATTATAATGGAATTGTTTCCTACGGGCTATTTTAAGAATTGTACATCGAGACTGATTGCTTTTAAAATGTGTTCAAATTATAATTCTTCCTGTGTAAGCCAAACGAAACTATCGTATCAAACTATCATTGACAGTGTCAAACTATCATTAACGGCGTCAAACTATCATTGACGGTATCAAACTATCACTGACGGTGTCAAACTATCATTGACGGTGTCAAACTATTACTGACGGTGTCAAACTATCATTGAAAGTGCAAGACTTTGGATTGTGAATTGCTCTAAAAATTTCTTTGGTGTTGAGGTCTGGTCATAAAAAAATTGCACTGTGCTTGGCATAATACTTTCTTCTGATACGAAACGGTCGTGTCAAACTATCATTGGCTGTGTAAGTTTGTGATGGTTTTATTTGGTGATACGATTTGGTCATACTAAATTATTGTTTCTAAACAACTAGCAGATTGTAAACTTTGTTCGGTCAGCTTGGCACATTGTCACCATTTGGTGCTGTGGCATTGTCATACCATCGACCGGATGTAAGTGATATTCTCTCAAGATACTGTCGATAAATTGGTTCTAAAACCGTTATAGTATTTATTTTGGAGAACTAATTGAGTTGTAGGCGTAGAAGTTGTTTTTGTGGTTAAGACATCAGACGCTTGTCAAATATTAATCTTGTCCACATCATTAATACGTCTGGGTAATCTCATATTCTTATATTACACTCGCTCATCCAGACATCTTAACGAAATAAAGTCATCTGACATTTCCATGGTTTCTGAGATTATTGAAGTTAGTTGAAGGGGAAGTTATTATCGAGGATATATTAATAATAATACAGAGTGCAGGCTAGATTGACAAGTGGGTCACCCACCATCTAATTAACTCAGATCTAATGAAGTAATGAAATGGCGGACATCTTATTACCTCTGTGGACTCTCCTAAAAGAGACGTTGAGTTGAGAAACCGAAGTTAACATTATTAGCTAACGGACAATCTTTGGTTTTAACCCATACATTACTTGCTATGTGGACTCTCTCAGGTTTACATACCCGAAATTATTATCTGTGTGGACTCTCATAAGGGAAACCAAGTTGACCAACCGAAATCCGAAGTAAACATTTATTGTTATGTGGACTCTTATAAAGAAAACCAAGCCGAAATATTGCTTAATGTAATGTATACTTTCGCAATGTATAGCAAGTTGAAAAAAACGTATACAAAGTAAACGTTATTAAAAAAAATTGGATTAA